ATCGTGACCCCTGAATGACCTTCAAAATGACCTTCCAAGGATTTTTCAAGGTCAGTACCATACTTCCCCCGTGTAACCCTAAACTTTTCATACGAAATATTTTTCTCTATCCCTACTAGTTTTCGAGATATTTGACTGGATCACTTCAGATGGTCCACCCTGTATATGACTGCACGCAGATTACTTTCGAAAATAATAATTATGTCCAATATCTAAGTTTAACCATAACGTTTCTTATAGCGTTTTTCATTGGCAAAACTAGTGCGCACTCAGTGCACATTAAGGCTGTTGTACATTATTCTAATCTAAATATAAAAGTGAGATATCTCAATTGATAAAATGCCCAAAATTTATTTTATCAAATAGCACAATAAAATGTATCGAATATTTCACGGTTTAATTCGTTTATATATTTTTATTAAACGTATATCTTTACGTCGATTTTTGTACAACGGCTTTAAAGTGTACTGAGTGCGCACTAGTTCTGTCAATGAAAAACGCTATTAGTTAATTTATTCATATGTCAATCTTGTTTCAAATGTATTATGAAAAATTCTGTTCTCATTAAGTGTCAATATAAATTAACTACCTGCCACTTGTCAGAGACCATGTGTCGCAATCTTTGGTAATGCACAATTCCAAAGAAGATACTAGCGTTCATCTCACATCCATAAATGCCCGAATACATTCTTTCAGTTCCATAATAATTATAACCACCAAGTTCTAATAATTCCCCGAAGTAGTCCACAGCTGTACTCTCCTCGTCAAACCTAAAGGGCGTAGCATCGTGTACCAACCCATGTATAGCCGCCGATTTTCCAGCCATCACTTCAATCATCATAGCTATAAAAAACAATAATTATCGCTTTATTGCAAAGCCGTTAACATCTAAATTACATTTTCTTAGTAATTTCTTATTAAAAAATTAATATTTGATATTGCCTATCCAAATACTTATGTTAAGGACAGATCTAATTGAAAACCATCAATTCGTCATTGTTATATTATTCTATTAGGAGTGTAATTTAGTTTTGAGTTTTGCAAGAAATGGCATTAATGTCAGTGTTGTTGAAGACATTCCAATCACAGCTATTGTTTCTTTATGCTTTAGTGCCATGGCAAAAAAACTTAATCAGTAAAACATATGGGGAGGTTGAACATGGACCTAATGGAATCGGGAGCTAGTATCAAGGCATGGGCTTCTCTCCTTGGGGACGTATCGGTGGATGAGGGCGTGAGGAGGATAGATGCTGCCTTGAGAGAGGTCTCGGACCTTTCCATGCCGCGCTTAACTTCCACCGGTAGACCATCAGTTTACGGTGAAATGAAGAGATAGCTGAACTGCGGACTAAATGTGTAGGCGTCTTATACTAGCACGAAGGCGGGAGGGACTTCTGGAATGAGTTAAGGGAGGCGAGGAGGAAGATGAGAGGCGCGATTCGTAGATCGAAGATCGACCTGTGGAGGGGATTATTCGACACACTGGATGGAGACCCTTGGGGTATGCCATACAGAGTGGTCATTGAAAAGCTACACACCGGCTCTACAGCCATCGTGGAGGGGCTTCCCCCTGAAGTAATGCAGGAAATTGTGGGCATGCTGTTCCCGCGAGGGAACATAGCGATTGTACAATGGAGCTCTCGTCCTGAATGGAACGAGTCGTGGGCAGTTACGGAGAATGAGATCACAGCGGCATGTAAAAGGATTATGGTCAGTAAGGCGCCTGGCCCAGGCGGTATCGCGGGCCGCGTGGTAGTGGGCCCAGTGTCTGTCCCCATGGTGTGCGCTGCTTCACGGCATCAGGGAGGGGTGCTTCCCGGAGAAGCTAGAAAACAGCAAGACTGGTCCTGCTTAAAAAGTCTGGGAAACTTGATTTACTTCTCTTTTCCTACAGGCCCATCTGTTTACTTAATGAAGTGGGGAAACTCTATGAAAGAGTTTTATGCGATAAATTGCACAGATGCTTGGACGCTACCGGAGGTATTTCCGATCTGCGATATGGATTTAGGCCCCACCGATCGACGGTAGATGCTATACGGAAATTGCGAGAATTGGTGGACGACGTCATGCGGGACGAGGGGGTGGCGCTGGGTGTGTCCTTGGACATGGCCAATACCTTCAACTCGTTCCCGTGGGCAGTAATTCGCCGAGACCTTAGCGGCTAAAGGTGTGCCGGAGTACCTCCGATGCGTCCTGGAAGACTACTTGTTGAAAAGGGATTTAGCGTATGTAAATAGGTATGATTGCTTTACGCGCGTAGAGATGACTTGCGGAGTTCCTCAAGGGTTGGTCCTTGGACCGACCCTGTGAAACATCGAATACGACTCGATCTTGAGACGCGCTTTGCCGATCGGATGCTCGGTGCTCTGTTACGCCGATGACATGTAGTGAGGGAACCCTTTTTCGAGAGGCCTCTGGTTCGGGCAGAGCTTGGGGTAGCCTCTGTTATCGGGTCCATCAAGCGGTTAGGCCTAAGAGTTTCCGTCGAGAAGACAGAGGTAGCGGCGTTCATGGCGGGCAGGTTGTCGGAAGCATTTCTGTGGGTGGTTGGGGCGATGGTTTCGGTGGGGTCCACCATGAAATATCTGGGATTTATCCTGGATTCTCGATGGACCTTCCGGAACCACTTTCGCCTTCTGCCAAATGTTAGGTCGATGGCCGTGGCATTGGGCAGGTTGACTGCCAACATTGGCGGACTCGGCGAGTGTCATTGTCGAGTGTTTGCTACCGTCGTGCTGTCGATCGTCTTTTATGGGGCCCCGATTTGAGCGCAGATAGCTATAGATCGGGTCATTTGCAAGAATGTGGCGCGGCTGCAGCGACAACTCGCGCTTAGAGTTATAAGAGGATACAAGACCATCTCGTATGAGGCAGCAATCTTATTCGCGAGAATGGTCCCTTTTAGGTTACTCGCGAACCTGGAGGCGTACCTATCTACGTAGGCGGAAAATCCTGCGGCGGGACGGGGTAATAACGTCAAGAACCTTGGCTCTCATTTGCGAAGATGAAGAGAGACGATCCATGGCGCGATGGAAGCAGCAACTGCAGGAGCTCCTTCCTGACGCGCCCGGGTTCGTTACAAGAGATACTCTGGTGGGCAGACTGAAAGAGTGGATGGGGAGAGCACATGGCCTTACTTTCCACATAACTCAGATCTTGACGGGACATGATTGTTTTGAAGCCTATCTCTATGAGATAAATAGGACGGGATCGCCAATCTGTACCTATTGTAGAGCGGCAGTGGACATGGGGAGGCACACTCTCCTCTATTGTCCCATCTGGACGGCGGAACGGGAAGTGCTCTTCCGTAAACTAGAGCTAGATATGGATTTGGAGAGAACATATATTAACGACAAAGATTACTCGGAACAAAAAACACAGATTTGCAAGCATTATTGAACGAAAATTCAGCACAATCCACTTCAGAACTTGCCAGAGAATTAAATGTTGATCGTATAATACAATTACTAAACGTTTATATGATATGGAAAAGATTCAAAGAAGGAAAACGGGTTCCACATCAGTTATCGGAAATTGCCATTGCGAACCGATTGAACATTCGCATTTCGTTGATCGCCAAACAAAAAGAGAAGACTTTTAGGTAAATATGTAAATAGAGGGGCCCCCCTCTTCAATGACCTTGACCTTGACATATGTTGTCAAGATCGTGATCCTGAGTAACTCTGAGGAAGTTTTAACCGTTGGGCGTTACTTGTTAAAAAGTTATAAACAAAAAAAGTTTAAGAAATGTCTCATTTCTGATATATAAAACCAAAATTCTCAGATTTAAAATAAATTTTCTGCTTTAGAAACGATTTTCCGTGTGAAGTAAGGTCCCACCAAGTAAGGTTCCTTGTTAAAGAGCGCACAACTTTCCACGCGATGCGAGTTCCATCCTACCTCCCCTTCTGTCAAGGGACGCACTTTCTACCCGAAGCAAGGATCATCTCACCTCCCGCCCGCTTCAGGGCCGCACAACTTCTAGGCAAAATGACTTTCACCCCACCTCCCCTTCCCTTCAGGGACGCACGACTTCCATGCAAAGCAACTTTCACCCTACTACCCCCTTTGCTAAGCGGCGCATGACTTTCCACGCGACTTTCGTACATGTTTCATTTTAATGAAGAGTCATCATAAAATCATAAATTTTCTGCTTTAAGGTTCCTGACTACTCAGTCAAGAACTCTGCGTTGACGGTAGCGACACAGAATCAGACGGCGGTCTGGCGACACCGGTAGCCATACATTCAGGCACGAGCCCATGTACGCCTTTGGCGCGAGAGTGCACGAAACAGCAAGCTCTTTTTCACACTTAGGAGCCTTAAGAATAAAAATTACATAAGAAAATTGAAACAACCTGACTTTGCGCGGACGTAGCTCGTCGGTCACGGGCTGCGGCCAGGGT